GTTGCTTTGCATCCAGGTGCTAAAATACCACGCCGCGCCAGGCCTGCTTAAATGGTACCCCACGCTACATAAACATGGAGACGGGGCGCTAAGCCATGTAAATTCAAAGAAGTGACAGGAGCATGTGGTAAGCATCGAATGTAGTCTTCTATTTCCTTCACAGAGAGTGGTATTCAGATCTACCTTAAAAAAGAAATTCTTCTGATCCAAACGGGATTCGAAACTTGGAGTCTCGGTTCTGAGTCCGACGCTTCACCAACTGAACAATCTCGGTGTGTGTTTTACGAAAACCAGTTGAAAATGATGTTGGTTCAAAGGACCTCGCGAAAGTCATAAGAAAATTGGTAATATATTCTGCAATATATTACTGTAACTATATTCTCTCTCTTTCAAACCCTTAAAGATGAATGAAGCATCATTCCAAACGTCAAAAACTTGATGTATAATGAAATTTTGAAATCAATTTTTTTTATGTTGAAAAGTTTGTACCTGCTATTACGCTATTACCCAGCTTAATGACTGTATGAACTTCTGCGTTGCACACGACTTATGTACAGATTTACAGGAAGAGGGATTAATAAAGTCCTTATTTTAATCTTTTAAGCTGATTGTTAAAAATCTGAGCTGCTCACAGTCTTCGATAGATTTATCAATGTTATCAAGAAGAGCAGAAACGTTCACAAAGAAAAACTGCTGGCTTAAGGATGAGAATATTCAGTTTTTAAAGTTAAATGAAACCACTCATTTGTTTTCTGCTCTATTTAACACTTCTGTAACAATATTAACGGCTAAACAAAAAATTCATTAATATTTTAGCAGATTTAAGAAGAAAACTTTCTATTGGACGGGACGGCCAAATTCATATGTCGTTTCCCGTTGTCCACCTACTTCCAGCCCAGCCTTTTGCTGCCTTGTTGCTGTGCGGCAGTCAGGATGCCGCGATAGATTTCGGATCTGGTGAACCGAGGGTACGAATCTTTGCTCATCAAAATAAATATATGTTCCTCTGCCTGAGAGAAACAATACCGACTCGGCATCGTGTTTGATTTCATCGCTTTCGTCACTGCTTCTAGCGTCTGTGAATCGATGTTTATTTGACATGGAGCGCCGGAAACTAAGAATTCACTAAAAAACATGAATTATGAACAATGACAACGACTGAACTAACGGAATCTATACTAAACAACTGAAATATAAATGCTACAGTACATACGTAAAAGTTTAACACATGAGTACGCCCAATGTTAACTGCTGCAAACCTTTTTAAAACGAATCTCGTGGCACATTAAACTGCTCTCTTTTGCCTCTAAGCGCCTTGACTACGAAAGCAGGCCACAGTTCCATGAAGATAAAAAAACTATTCTAATCTTTCTATGAGGGAGCTTTATCTGATCTGCAATAATGGTAGTGCGTCGTGGTCGGCATGCGTGTGAACGCATCTAAAATGAAAAGCCCAGTGCTTTCTCATTTTCCTGCCCGTTGCTCTCTTCAGATTAGCGGAGAAGCAGTGGGGCAGGTAGAGAAGTTCAAGTACCTGGGGGTCATGTTACAGGTGACAGAAAATTGGAGGAAAAGATTAGCAGACGGACTGTAGTGGCCAGTGACATTCTGCGTAAACTAGTTCTAACAATTATGACTAAAGCAAAGTTGAGTCCAAAGACTAAACTCTCCGCTTGCAAGTCGATGCTCGTTTATTGGCCATGTGTCGTGGACTCTGATCGCCGGTAAGCGGCTGAACTGGGCTTTCTGAGGCGAATCGCTGGTCTACGCCTCTCGATATGGTCCGGAGTAGAGAAATCTGAGAGACCTTCGGACAAAGTTGCTGGTTCTTCGGACTGAAACATCAAAGTTGCGATGGTTTTGGCAAATGTTGCGAATGCCTCCAGAAAGGAAGGTGAAACAAATTCTTGCCCAGCCGACCGGCAGAAGACCCCTGTGTCGACTAACATTAACCCGGTGCAAGTGTACTGTAGGAGTCTTCGAGAGAAGTCTCGACTCCAGTTGTCTTTTTCTGAAGCTCAAACGCTGGTCCAGAATCGAGAATGTTGGAAGTACTGCGTCTGCCTACGCGATCGGAAACAACAAGCGGTTACGGAAATCGATTGCCTGATTGATTTTAATCGATTTGATCGTCGTTTTCACCGCTGGTTTATCTAAGCAATAGAAAAACGACTTTCAGGTAATTGTACAAGAGTATGTGCATTAAGATCATCTTGAGTCGTTTGCACATGCATAATATTTCTGGTTTATAACGTGCATCTTATTCATCGCTTTTCAACACTTTTGCCATGAATAACTGGCTATTACTGTACTGAATAATGAGCAAATCTTCTCAGAAAGATCATGTGGCTCTAACCTGTTCATCTGATGCGCGTTGATTTGCTATTTCGGCTCACACAAATGAAACCCGTGCGCTGGAGCAAATAGTTTATGCTGAATAGTCCTTCTTACAGAGCAGACCTTTCCTTTCCCCTCACATTTACAGAGATCGGAAATGAACAAAATCATTCTTTACGCAATCCTGATACCTGATACTCATTGCGGCGTCATAATCAACGCAGCTTTGAATTCAGTTGAACCTCGATACAACGTCCTGCATAGAAACAACTGTTTCTGTGTCATTAAAAATCACAGATAAAACCGAGGCCAAATAAAGGTAATAGGTTACTACATTCTCTCATCATAGATTCAGCAGTTTACGAAAAGCACTGGAGACAAAAACGATCCTCTACGTATCTGTGATTGAATGATGTCGCTTGAGACGATGTAGCCTCGATACTTAAAATACTAAGAATTACAAACTAGGTTCCGTTGGACAAGCAACGACAAGATGATTGTCCAAGAACACACTGGAATGATTCGATAGTGAGATTACTTCCTCAGCGGTGGAAGCACGCCTCCAGTGGAAAATGGACAAAGGTTGGCGAAACATTCACTTGTATTTATGGCCAACCCACAACGATATCAGATAGGATAATCGATTTTATTTGCAGATCAACTGTGCTGTATAGGTTGTTAATAATTTTCCACTTCCGAACGTCAACGCAGAGGCCGGTTTTGGCGCTGTTGTTGCGTACGGAGTCAGGTGACAGACCCGCTGCCCGTATGTGCATTTCAGGTCAGGAAGATATCTAGCTGAATATCCTGAACTGCGAATTCCCCACAGAATATGTTTTTCGCCTTCATCAGGTTGAACAGTATTTCAGAAAAGAAAGGCAAGAAAAAGGATAAGTAGCAAAAGCAACAGCGCATCACCCTGGCCTACTCGACCAGTAATAGACAACCATCCAGAGAGCTTTGCCTCGAGTTTGACACATATCACCCCTGGAAATAACTGTTAGAAAACGTAAGTGATGTGTTAGGTATCCCATAAAATTTCCACATCGTTGGATGATTAACTAAATCAAATGCAAAATTACAGTCTAAAAAACGACATAAGAAGGCCGATACCCATGATTCCATGGAGAGAAAAATTGGTCAGAACAGGAATATTCCATCCGAATCTTTCAATCAACTTCCTTCCGAAGCCTTTCCTCAGTCGCCAACAACCTTCCAATATAGAATCAGTTCCGCGATTGCATTTTCCAGCATTCTGAACTTGACGATGTAGGGTATGAAGCTTTTCTACCATTCTCCCTTCCCCTATATTTAATTACCTCTGGGGAGATTCAATCCGCCTTACTTGGACGTTCTGTAAAAATTTTTTAATTTCTAGTATTGTGGAAAGATCTGGATTAATCTCTTGTGCTAGCAAAAAATTAACAATCGGAAAAAGCCAACATGAAGGGCAGGTGCTGAAAATGTTCAGGACGCCTTCTGTAGCGTTAGGACAAATTTACACCTTGCTGTCTTAGAAAAATTCAAAAAACTTAGTCCCAAGTACTGAAATCAGGCAAATCTTCAATGGCTTTTCTAGATTCAATACCATCTTCAACTCAGAAAGTAAGTAGAATGTCATAAAAATTCGTGCCACATCCTAAGATTTGCAACATCTTCGCTGATCGATAGATGTTTGGGACTGTTTAACCAAATGCTCAATTTTCGTTTGGTGAGGGTCGTCTAGATCATCCGTTTGGTCTCTACGCTAAGCCTAAGCAGACACCGCAGTGAAGATTTTCCGTCATTTTTCAAGTTTCTCGCTCCTTACACATATTGGAAAATACAATGCTGGGCGTTTGAAATGTTAGTAGTAGTTTAGCTTATTAGTCAATGTAAACGGGTTTTGATATGTTCCTGAAATGTGACCGTTGCTCTGTCGTTGAAGAGTTACGCCAGTGGTAAGGAACAAGATCAATTTAGATTTTAGAAACGCTAATCAAAGTATGGTTCCCCTCCCGTCATTTGGGACCTGATAATGGAAAGCGCAGGGTTGTGTAAAACATCGGTAAGCATTCAATCGCTGAATACCATGAAATTTTTTGTTCTTGTCATATCCTTCTTCAAAACTAATGTTCAAGAGTTCAAAAGAAAACTCCTGCCTTACTTGTAAATCGTTTCCACCTTTTGTTCCACCTGCGAAGAGGGACTGTGCTTTAGATCTTGAACAGCGATCCAAAATTTAATATTTTCCTGAGAGAATTCTGATTCCAGGAACGTTTCTAACACTTGTCGGCCGATCGGGTCTCGTATCAGCTCCTGAATCGAGAAGCCCCACCGGCGGACGCGTTGTTCTGACGGTATCTCGGCACTAAAATGAAACGAAAACATTACAACGTCGAAAAGGGTATTCACTAAACGCAATACTTGTCCGCATTCAACTGCCACAGCGTAGTATCGTCGACGATCCATGGGTTGCCGACGTCGCGAGGAAACGAAGACATCAAAGGATCGTACTCGCTAAACTGATCGCTCCAGAGAACTAACCTGAACAACAGGCGAATAAAAACAACAAGATACGGAAAGGAAAAGAAAAGAGGCAGAAGTATGGTAATGATGCAGAAAGCGGTGAAGAGGAAATAAAGACCAAAACTAAACTCACAGAGGAAGGAAGGGCTATGGACTGAAAAAAATGAGGAAGATATTGAAAATGGAAAGTAGAGAAAGAAAGGATAATATGAAAGAAACAAAAACGACTACTTTAGAGGAAGATAAATATCATAACGCTTACGTTTCAACAGCTTTCGGAGATTTCAGCCAAGGCTTGGTTTTCACGATCAACTTCAGCTGGTCCACCTAGCGAAAATACTAATCGTGTTTATACGAACAAGATATTCAGATGAAGTAAAGTAATGACAAAAGAACAGCAAGAAGCCATTTGTAGCAATCACTCAAAAATTATAGCGCATTTCTTAGAATGTCAACATGGTTTCAATATAAATAAATCAGCAGTTTAGACTAAGTGAACGGCAGGCTTGGACCAAAAGTTGAAAGACTCCCTTCGTGTTTCGCTTAAAAAAGAGACGCGCATCAATTTCCCAGTTTAGTTGACATACCTTGTGCTCTGAAGTCCATAAACTGGATTCTTTGATCACTTCTAGTTTTCAGCCATCTCGTTTCACAGTTCCACTACTCATCAGTTTTTTTCTTTTGATTTCCTTTTTCTTTATTCTATACTTTCTTCATTTTGATTGTTTTCATGTTACTGCTTCGAATTTGTGTACTTTATACACAGAGTGGATTCTTTTATGCGGGAATTTGATCCCGTAGAGATTACAAGTAAATCTCGGAAAGTACTTGTCGAGTGTTGTGTACTTTATCTTAGATATGTAACACACTACTCTGTACTGAAAAGAAATGGGAACTGCGGTATAGAAGTAGAGCGGCGTTTAGAGCTGGTATCTATTAACTTCGCGCAATTTTATAAAGTGTGGTATCACAAATCAATCCGGATAGCAACAAAGTTCACTACACTGAAAGGCGCCGTCTTCTAAATCCCGATATACAGTCTCGAAATATCCACCCTTTTAAAGCGCCATGAAAAGATGCTTTGTGCTTTTCAGTAACTCTGTTCCGAGAACGAGATTGTTCCGTCGAATGAAGAATGAAAACATTTTGGAGATGACTGGCCTGACAACGCTCTCTGAAGAAATCAGAGATCGGGGTCTTTCGTAGTTTTACAGAACCATCCGGAGAGAATGAACAAATATCGAAAATCATTCTCCTTTTGGAAGCAAAACAAATGACCACAGATGCGTCAGAGATCCATCACAGCACAAAAGCAGCTGCTACAGACGGACATGCTTGCGAAGAGTAATATTACATTTGTTGCAACAATTAACATTGCCTAAATCATTCTGAGAAGTCAATCGTCAGATATCATTAACCTGGTTATTCGTTCTTGGATCTCCTAGTACACTAGGTGACGTTGACAAGAACAGAAACTAACGTATATACTACACAGTGTAATTATTTATTACATATATTATAATAAGAACCAATATTAACTAAAATGAAAACAGCATTTCTCAAGAAGGATTCTCTCGATTCACACGGCGTCACACAATCCTCTTCGAATACCAACGAATATACCTTGATCCGTAAGAATATATAACAAAATCTCACCTCGGTATTATGGTATATTAACAAAGTATAATCTACCAGATACAACATAAAAAAAATATTGTCAACTAAATAAGTTTTCTTCAAACTTACCTCTCGCTGATAATCTCTGAAAACCTTTTTCTTAATCTTTTTCTCTAATTTCCCGTAATGTTCCTCTAAACACTGACTGCTGCCCGGCTAAAAATTATAACAATCCATGTGAAGGTAAAATATTCTCAGCGACAAAAATCAAACAATACCGGTGGTCTATGAATACGCCAAAACGCTTTTTCCTGATTATCCAGAACCACCTTTTCAACTTTTTTCTTTTCTTTGAAAATCCTACAAAAAATGTACATATTCTGAAAGAGTAAATATATAAAAAAACTGCTGAAGAACAAATTAAGGGAATTATTCTGAAGGAGCGTTTTTACTGAAAACGACATAAGTTTTTTTAGGAGAAATCCGAGAATCAATGAAAAACAACGCGCTTGTTCAAGCTAAAGTCCAAGTCATTTGTCTCAAATGAATAGTAATTTATACATGTGATGCCCGAGTCAAGCAAGATGCCGTCCCAGAGGCTAGCAGACAATAGTTACGAACAAGGTAATGATTCACGTTTAAAAAATTGTTCTTTTAAGACAAAACTAACCGTTGCGTTATAGCAACTGTTGGAAAACTGTGAATACAGCCTAAATCATAAAAGACATAGTCCTGCCCAAACTAATCTCAACAAACACAATACAGAAATTTACGAAAGATAGATACGGCATTAAGACAATTTTAGTGAAGTTCAAATCAACTTCAAACGAGCGATGTATGAGCGTCTACAAGGATAAATGTGAAACAACTGTAACTCAAAGATTATTTCATAGAGTAAAGATACAGAACGCTACTTCCTCGATTTTCTAGACACTATATACTGCACATATCATTCGAAAGACTCATGTTTCTCCTCTTTTTTTCGCGTAGCCTCGTGGAAGTTGATGCGCTAATACACCGCTGTGGAACTGAAGAATTCACCTTACCTTCTTATTCGCTGTTTCTCTTAAATTAATTGCCCGTTATTTTCTTAGGTGTCCTCTTCCTTTATGTCCTCTCACACGCGTTACCAACGATTTTGCTAGTAATTGTCTTGAAGCCGCTCTTCTAGCACTCCCACACGACTTTGCTCGACTAATCTCCATTCCATTAGATACTGTATGCAACAAACGCAATTCGTTTCCTTACGGAGCCATGATGAATTCTATTGAGCTAAAAAGCTTCTTTGGATTTATGCACGTA